CCCCCCCCCCCCCCCCTTCGTCGGTTGCTTCTTCCTTTTGTCGTATGAGACATACACGCTCACGGGTGTGCCCAGTTTGATCTATCGAAAAATGACCCGCTGAATGTCCATGTAAACTAAACTGTTCACCTCAACAAACACCCCTTGCTTCGATCCTCCGAGTAACATGGCTTGGTTTTGTTTCCTCACCTGCATCGTCAGGGCCCAAGACGCCATGAACGCACTTGCCGCGGCAGCCCGGCGGTCCTTCCCCAACGCCTCATCGAAGGACCTCGCCTCAACGCGCAGGGACACCCTACCGATCGCCCACAGCGAAACCACGCTGACCGCACGTGCCCGGTGGCCGCCGCCCCCCCCTCTGCCGTCGCGATCACCACAAACTTCGACCCGGAGAAACTCTGCCGAACTCTCCACACAACGTGTTGTGCCGACGGAAGTATGGTCGGTAGGATGTGACGCCCCTTTGCCGGGGAAGTTTATGGTTTCGGTTAAGTCCCGATCGGGGCCGTCCCCTTCCCGGTAGAATACGGCGAGCCGCTGTCCGGGAAACTGAGCATCTAGAGCTCGGCGAGGTCTCGCCGCGACGCCTGTGTCGCGAATCTAGGCCAGGGGCGGATGTGAAAATTCGAGGTTCGCGGCGGGTGGGAGGTACCACGTTGAAAATTTGCATCAAAAAGAGACGATAGGTGGATTAGGATGCCTGCGCACACGGTGGACACCTTCTTTAGCACGGACAGTGTACCTCCTGAACGCTGTTTTTTACTGTTAACGACGCTTTTTCAAGCCTGCCCTCATGTTCTGAACAATGGCCGTTTGTCGTTGGCAATGACATCCATCGTTCAAATATAGGGAAAGTGAAGCATGTTCATCTAGGTTGGGGATGTTTATATCGAAGCTACCCGTCTTAGCATACGTGACCAAAGGCACCACTTGATACCGCTCAGTGTGCATGACTCTCCTCGCTCGCTCACTTGTCGAGCCATGGCATCTACAGCCCGTGGCCCCGTGGAAGCGGCGTACAGCACCCGCAACACCCATGCCCGCGCCCTGAACGCCGCTCTCAAACTCGCCGCCACCTCCTCCCCACCACCACCTTGTGCCTCGCCCTGGGCGGCGGCGAGTGGGCCTGAAACTTCAAAGAAAGAAGCATCGTCGAGGAGGACATAGTGCTCTTCGAACCCTTTCGGAGAAGGGACGGATAACACGTCCCCGCCGTTGGTGAGGTAGAAGAAGCCGCCACCATTTCCTGGCAGAATGATGAGGGAGTGCACCCGTTTGTGTCTTGCTCTCGTAAGTACGACAACTGACCACTTATCACATGAATATCGAAGGGGGTGAACGCGTTTGTGCCGTGCTATCGCAGGTACGACAATTGAACCCGCGTCACTTGAATGACGAGGGGAATTTCGTAGTGTTACCATTGGCCGCTTATCTCTTGCGAGAGGAGCACCGCGCAGGCTGTCACTCTGGGTATAGCTGAAGGGGTGCCCACGTTTAGCACGGATACACACCCGCATAGACTAATACCAGACAGCTGCTGAAGGGCTAAGGGCCACAGCCGAACGTAAGGTTGGGTGTCGAAGAGGGGACACCCGTGTGGGGGGTTCTCCAGCAATACTCTGTGCTAAGAGAGTGCTGAAAGGTACAGCGATAAGGTTTGATTGTGCTTCCGCAGATTGTGCACAAGGCGCAGTTATCTACGGGTCGGTAATGTACGGGTTGAAATTTCGGGGCTCACTCTTCGAGGCTGGATCCCACGGTTCCTCTTCGTCCATCGCTCGTGCCGCCCGCACACTCTCCGGGTCGGGCACGATCAGCGAGGCCGCGCCACCGCCGGGAAGAACAATCGAGTTCAGCTCTCGAATTTTCAGGAAACTTCCCCTTCCTTTCTTGTCGGCCGCGCTGCCTATTCTTTCTGTCGTGTTCGTCGTCACCGGGACAGCGCCGAAGGTCGCCACGCAGCTGAACGTCCGGCCCTTCTCCGTCCACTCTTCTGCCGTTGCCGCATACGATCCCGGGAAGAGACGATGGTGCCTACCGCTGCGTGGACCCTCCTTGCGACTCTGGGTCTCTCTGTCTTCGCTGCCTAACGCGCGCAGCGATTGCGGTGGCGGCGGGGCGAGTTTGTGTCTCCGATCACAGGGGTCCCACAGCCGAACCCTGCCGTCAGAATGCCCGGAGACCAGCAGCATCGACAGGGGAAGGTAGGTCAGACAAGTCACGGGAGAGCGATTGCCATCACCGCCGTGCGTGCCGCCGCGTTCGGAGCGACCCGATGAAAGCAGATGCTTGCATGGGACCGGCAATCGCAGCCCGTTCCACTGACGCAGCAGCCTATCACCCCCGCCATTGTCGAAGCTTGTAAGCACGTTTCCCTCTCTCGATCTCGTATCCAACTTTACCATCGAAGAAGGTGGCGGCCAATGCGGATGGATCAACGTTCGCGCTATTGCGGCCCACGGGGCCAGGCAACGCCGCCGTTTATTCGCAGTGGTGTTCTCGTCCCGATGCTGCAGCAGGCATGAAGAAGCAGAGGCAGTATGCGCTTCGACTGCCAGAGCATCGGCGAGTTCCCGGAGATCTTCATCCCTCACATCCATCGCTTCGAGGGCGGCTTCAAGCGCAGCCGGGGAAGCTAGACGGTCGTCATCTTGATGTCCGTCGGCACAGCCACGAGTACTACCGTGGTCGTCGTCGTTGTTGATGTACTTGTCTCCCGCAACCGCGGCGGCACAAGCGGCTCGTGCACGGATTTCTTGGAGGGTTGTCAAGATGTCAAGCCGAGTGGGCGGAGCAGAAGAGTCGACAGCGCCTCCACCCACCACGCCTGAAAAAAGGAAGGACAAAATGTAGAGCACCTAGTTTAGCGCCAAAGCGGTGGTGTGTGGGGCTACACGTTTTTTTTGCTGGTTAGACCCTGAAGCAACACAGAGTGCTAAATTCTACCCGTGGGACAGTCACAGTCGAGCACGAATAAAAACGTTTTCCACATGGTACCTTGCCGGTGACTCCACAATACGGAGAATGCTACTGACACACCAAATAAACACGCGACTCGCCTCCCATGATCATGTCAATCACGAGCTCGCAAAGCCGTGCTTCGCAGAAGCCGTACACGGCGACCCTGGCGTCGACTACCGGACGAACGGGCCGTCGTTCCCAGTCCGGGCCCGCCGATGGTGTCGCACAATCAGTGCCGCCGTTGATCCGGTTGCCTTTAGCTTCGTGACGGAATGCCTCTTCCGGCCTTCGCAACCGCCGAGAGTCGACGCCCAGCTCTATGGTGCCGTCATCGTAGGTGACCTGATGTACGGATAAGAGCGAGGATGGGGTGACGACATAAGCTGTGAGGGCAAGGGTAGGGTAGGAAGCAATGGACGGCTTTTGTACTGGTCAATTGGACAAGGATTCAAATCCGGATGGATGTTTGCTGCGGCAAAGACAGAACCTGTCGTCGTGCACCACGTCAACGTGAAGGCGCGGAAAAGGAAGGAGAAGAAAAGGCATACCGTTTGCAAGAACGCGGCCGATCGCGCTCCAAAGTTTGGTGCAAGCCGAGTCTGGCTTGTACATGATTAACCCTACCCCTTGCTTACTCGAGGTGCGAAGGAGTCGTGAATTCTTGTCGCCTAATGGTAGAGCTGTACCGTGAATGGTTGGCGTGGTGTATTGTTCGTGGAGATGTCCCGCTCATACAACTACAAAGTTCTATCACCAGTCCCGCACCTCGATCAGTGGGTCCGTCCTGGCGTTCTTTGCCGAAACACCGGCGGTTGTCGCCCCGCCCGTCGCCGTTTGACGATTCAACGAGCCGGCTCTCCCCGCATGGTGGTTCAACACGGCCGTCACCCAACCAGTGCGCCACACCGCACGAGCGCCCGCTTGACGAAGAACCTCCGGCCTCAGCGATCGAAGGGCGCGGCGGGCGTTTTCCTTGGACACCAGCGCCGCCGACATGGTGTTGTCGGTACCCGAGTTGTTGCTTTTGCTGCTGCCGCCCTCGTCTTGTCCGCGTACCAAGGCGTTTTCCAAAGCGCCTATGTCGGAAGACACCGAGTGGTACCTTTGGTTGTGACGGGAGCTGTCCACTTGTTGGGCCTGCTTTTCCAACCGGTCGCTGCTGTCGCTCGGGAGCAAGCATTCCCGTTTGAAACGCGTCCACTCGTCGGCGTGCGGCACTATCTCCACCCCGATGTCCCACACTCGTACCGTGGTGTCTGCCGATCCCGTCGCGAGCATAAGCTGGTACGGACACCCCGGAGCACGTTAGGCAAGAGGAAAGGTGGACGGGCGGGCGGGTGAGGGGGCGGACGGGAGTAGAAGGGAGGACGGTCGTTCTGGTTTTCGTATTGGCCACAGAAGTTAATAGATTCACCGGGGTTGGGGGGGGAAGGGAGAGCTGCAGCTGACCAGGGTACAAGCGATAGATTCAAGGATGGCCCTGTTTGGGGAACGGTGGATATGCTTACAGGCGTTCCTCAGATGGTTGTTTTCAAAATTTGGCTGACGTCAACAACGACGTAGCACGAGCCTTG